ATGATAACGTAAGTGTAAAGAAGTTTTTTTATTGCTTTTTATTGCCGCTCATGGTTATCTGTAGCTTTGGTGAGATTAGAGATGTGTAATCGACATTTAAAAAGGTTTTGTTGCCACTCACTAAAATGAAAAGCTTGAACGTGGCGATATTTTTAAAACCATAAATATATTTATATATATATTTTATTACAAGAAGGTTCTTTGCTTATGTTTATATAAGTTGTTGTGCTAAACGGTAAAGGTTAGTTAATTACAAAAGGCAGCGAATGTAAGGAACCCTTTCCTATGTGACACATATTACAAATGCTTTCCCTTTCACCTTCGACAAGACATTTAGCCTCCATCCTTTTGATGTCGAAATTTCTTGTGATATTGCGGTCGAAATTATTTGATTAATAATTTGAAATACGTACAGAACATGAATGGAACAGTGTGGTGACATCAACTCATCAACCGGTTACAATGGCAATCGTGTATAGATGATTCTGTAGCGCAGTTGCTGAACTCTTGGTTTCGGCGATGGAGACGTGGGTTCAATTTCCAACACGAAGTATTTGAATGACACAGATAATTGTTCCGGATCTGGGTTTTTGTTTTCAAGGAGGGTAAAGTCAGGCAGGGGGCGGATCATAAAAATAATAGCCAAAACTTTACAAAACATGTTTTCCCTATCCCTAAGTGGGATAAGGGCAGACTGATGATGATTGGCAGTAGAGAATAGGTCTTTACTTAACTGACACGGCTTACACATTAAATATTTATTTATTTATTTAATCTTTATTGCACAGAAAATTGTACAAAGGCGAGCTTAATGCTATATTGCATTCTCTACCAGCTAACCCTAGGTAGAACAGAAACAAAATGTCAAGGGCAGTAAAGTAGTTATATACGATACATAATTAAATAAATAATATGTAATAATTAGGTAATAAATCTAAAAACTGCCAACGTAAACATATATATATATATAAATATATATACATACATACAAACATATAAATAAATATACATACATACATATACACATAAATACATTTCAGATGTTCATACATAGTAAGTACTATTAAGTAGCTAAGACTCAGCAAGGATATGCTCAAACAGTTTTCTTTTAAAAAATTTTTTGTTGGTGATTGTCGCAGGTCAACAGGCAACCTGTTCCAAAGTAAGATTGAAGTGACAGTGAAAGAATTTGACATGAAACCGGAGTGATGAGAGGGTACAACGAACGACAGTAACGAATTTTGAGAAGAGCGAAGATAGAGGGAATGCGAGCCGAGGAACTGAAATCTTTCTTTTAGATAGGAAGGTGAGGAGGGGTCATAAAGGATTGAAAACAGAGTAGAAAGGATACGAAAGTCTTTGCGCTGGCGTATCGTCAACCACTTTAGTTGGTTACGGAAGTGTGACACGTGGTCATACACGTGTCACACTTGGAACACCTGCAGTCAAGTCCGACCAGTCAGGAATATCCTGACCTATCCGTACAGCTTGCTGGCGACCGCGAAGATAAGAGGAAAACCAGTCCAGTGCTGAAGAGGAAAAATTTAGCCGTGAAAGTAAACTAAGTAGCAGATCGTGGTCGACACAATTAAATGCGTTGGAGAAGTCAATAAGGACCAATACGGTCAACTGTGACTTGTCCATACCTTCCTTAGAGTCTTCAATTACTTTCAGTAAAGCTGTGGTAGTGCTATGGCCTGGGCGAAAACCAGACTGAAACATGCTTAGGAAGTTGCATTCAGAGATGAAAGAAGTAAGTTGTTTATGTACTATTGACTCGAGAGTCTTGGAAAGGTACGGTAGTATAGAAATAGGTCTGAAATGAGAAGGAAGAGATGGATTTGTTACTTTAGGTAGCGGTACGACAAATGCTTTCAGCCATGATTTTGGAAAAACACCAGAAGAGAGTGAGAAGTTTATGATGTAGGTGAGAACTGGAGCAATTCGGTCAAGTATAGGAAGTATCATAGCTCTGCTCACTTCATCATGGCCGGTTGCTGTGGATTTTATGGATATTACAGCTTTTCGGGTATCCTCGTCAGTCACTGGATGAAAGTGAAAAGGTGTACTGGATAACATCGGCATGGAATTGAGTTACTGTAGAGTAGACGTTTTAATGGAATGACACAAGGGAGAAGCAGAGGTAAAATGTTTGTTGAGGTCATTAGCCGAAATACTTAGATTCTGAGAACAGGTATGTGATTTTCAAAATCCTAAGGAGTTAAGGAACTTCCATACGTTTGCCGAAGAGGAGTTTAAAATACTATTGTGAAAGTAGCGGCGCTTAGCAGTTCTTACCACCTGATTACATCGATTTCTAGCAAGCTTATAATGTTCAAAATATATACTGTTTCGATTCTTCTTGTAGACACGAAAAGCCCGGTCCCTTCTTGTCATTGCACTACGCACTTCATCGGTTATCCATGGTGCAAGTGGGCGACGCAATCTCACTGCTCGCACTGGTGCGTGCTTGTCATATAGTCCGAGGATTTGTGTGTTCAGATAAGAAATTTTTGTCGTGATATCATTCATTTCCAGTAGAGGGTCCCAGTCAATGTCTTTGGCATCATTCCCAAGTGCAATGAGGTCGAGCTTGTTGAAGTTACGCACATATGCAATAGTTGGTTTGGGCTTGGGAGGCTTCAATCTATAAGATAACAGTAGCAGATCATGTCTAGAAAACGCAGGAGCAGCTAATTAGTCATAATATATAACATGATCTGTCGAACTGGCACATATTATGTCTAAAGTTTTTGCAGTTAGGAAGGTTAGGCAGCTATCAGACATCGACACTGCCAGACTTGTTTATTTCAGTTATTTTCACAGCATCTTGTCTTACGGCATTTTGTTGTGGGGTAGTGCATCTGATATAAATTCTATATTTATTCTTCAAAAAAGAACTGTCCGAGCAATCTATAACATCGGAGCCCGGAATACACTCAGAGACCTTTTTAAAGAGATTAATATACTCACTGTTGCGTCTCAATATATTTATTGTAATATTTTGTATGTTAAAAATAATATTAATAGTTATCTAAAGAATAGTGACAGACATAAACTAAATACTAGAAATAAGGACAAACTAACTACGCCATTGTTTCGTTTACAAAAAGTAAACAGGTCGTTCATGGGGCAAGGTGTGCGCATGTATAATAAAATCCCACAGTCGATATTAAGTCTGCCACTTGATGAATTTAAACGAAAAAAATTAAAAGTAAACTTATGGCTAAAGCCTATTATTCTATTGCTGAATATCTTGACGACGCCAATGTGTGGGGTTAATACTGTTGATACTCACGTAGGCTAAAACAAGACTATTGTACATGTACTATTTATATTGTAAACTGACTTTTTTTTAAAAAGAGCAACTGTTGAGTTTCTTGCCGGTTTCTTCTCAACAGAAACTGCTTTCCGAACCGGTGGTAACTTACGAACGTGTTAATTTCTTGTAAAATTTTGACGTTTCATAAGAACGCGCAAGCGTCTATGTGAATAAAGATATTTTATTATTTATTTATTATTTATAACCACGAATCCTCAGCGTCTATATTGAGATGGGTAGCGTTTAATGGCAGAATCGAGAGATCCGCCGAGTTCATGATAGTTTTAAGTCTGCGAACCTGAGGAGAATCCTTTAATAAATTGGTATTGAAGTCTCCCATGATTATAATGTGGTTGTTGATTGCGCAGACCGAGTCGATAACAGACTCAAGGTGCGAAAAATAATCGGTCGAGGGGGGGCAGTAGACCACTCCGAGCACAACCTTCGCACCCTTAACATCTACCTCCAGGAACAGGTACTCGGCGGATTCTCTATACTCTGATGGTGACATAGCTATTATATTATACGTAAAGTCCGCCCGCAAGTATACTGCGACTCCGCCGCCACCTTTGCCAGTGCGATCGCAGCGTATTAGGACGTATCCAGGAAGACTATACAGTGCGGAAGAAAGAGAAGGTTTAAGCCAGGATTCTGAAATAAGTAATGCATGAGTATGATCGGCCGAAAAAGTATCGAGAAGGTCTGAGTAATGTGCAGGGATGCTTTGAGCATTTATATGGCATATGTTTAAAGAATTCGTATAAAAAAGTTTGGCGCGCAAATGATCACCTACATTGCCAACAAAAGAAATGTCTGTGGCTGAAGTAATATCAGGAGAAAAACTATAACAAGCTGAGTAAAATGAGTCTTCATCTGATGACATTTATGCAATAATTATGATATATTATATAATAAATATAGTAATAAGTTATAAATATAAAATAAAATAATTTGAAATTAGTAAATTATGTAAAAAATAATAAAATAAAATATTCATACGTTTTACCTGCTAAACTGCCTTACAAATTAAAACGATTTAAATGCTAAGTGTTTAAAAAGAAAAAAAAAAACAACATAATGACATAATTTAGAGCACCAAATTAGTTATAGGTACTTTTGAAAAGTGGAAATTATTCCTAAATAAAAAATTATTATACAAACTGTCACACACGTAATATAGGTACACGTTACATAATTTGATCAGCCAATAGTTACAATGTAGATTTATTGATAAGCTTGAGATGGGACTAGGCTGTATGGTGAAATCCCAATGAATAGGCTGTATACAGAAATCTCAACCCGTTAAACTATTCTAAATAATATTGCCCAATCACAATGATGACGTTTGACATCATATTTAGATAAACGACAAACAACAACAACTATTTTAAATGCGATAAAAATGCATCTTGAATGTTAATAAATATAAAGAAACAAAAAAAGAAATGCAGTAAGAATATATAAAATAAAAACACAGTGCTGAAACTAATTATGATAACGTAAGGCGTCTTTGGATCAAGTTTAATTACACCTTCTTACTGATCGTGCGTTTCGAAGTAGCTGTAGACCTGGCCTTAGGCCCTTCTCTTTTGAAGCTGGTTCCCGAGACAGGAAGCATGGTGACCGGTTCAACTTCAGCCTTGTGTTGGGCGGTCAGCTCTTGCAAATCATTGTTTCAGAACACTTTGGCGCGGGATCCTCCAGGAAGCTTGACATTAATCACTCCGTCTAGAGTCCACACATTTCTGATTCCAAAGTGTCTGCGAGCCTCTAAGAAAAGTGATTGCCACATACGTGTTAAATATTCAGACACCATGTAGGGGCTGCCTTTGAGCAATGTCTTTTTGGACCACACTTCTCGACGGACTGCGCTATCTTCAAACTTTACGAGAATGGGACGGGGACGACTGTTTGTCATAGCGCCAAGACGGTGACATACTTGCAGGGATTGACCAGTGCAGTTATTGATGCCGAGATTCTTCGTGAAGACAGAGACGGCTAATTCTCGAACATTCTCATTTTCTTCTTCGGGCACACCTCCAATCAGCAAGAACTTTCTTCTATGTCTACTCTCAATGGAGTCTACGTTAGCAAGTAACTGGTTAATTTGCTTCCGCAGGAATTTAAATGTCGAACATACAAAATTCTTGAAGTTGATGTAATCAGAACTCAATTCTTTCAAGTTCATTTCTTTTGGTGACCCTTTGAGCCTTGCTTCAAATTCGTCTAAGCGTTGATTAAGGACTTTTCCAGTGCAGCTTGCGATTTTAGGACTTGTTGTATGTTTTCCATGTTGAGTTAAAATTTAGGTTATGTGCTCAAGATAATGTTGCAGGGAAAAGCAGTAGCAGTTTGTAGCAGGTATTTATTTTATCACATATGTTGTTGTGACTGATTTATATAAAAGACAAGGTGTTTTTAATGTAAACAGATGAAATAAAACGAAAATAAAAACAGAGATATGTGAAACACAGCTGTTACTTTTGTACGCCTACCCCCGAAAGTAAAACCCGAAAGTAAAAAATATCTCATTACTAACCAATACGTGGGATTGTAAGAATTGAAACTAGACAGTTTGTTAAAAAAAAAAAAAAAAAAACTAATTACTTTCACTAATGCGAGTTATAACTGAATCGTATGCGAATTGCTATTGAAATTGCTTTTTTTTTTTTTTTTTTTTTATGCGAGAAAGTTGTCAAACGAGCAGACGGTTCACCTGATGTTAAGTGAATACCGCCGCCCATGGACATCTGCCACACTCGAGGGTTACAGATGCGTTGACAACCTTTTGAAAATTGGGCTCCGGCTACCTCACTCACCAGACGAAACGCGAAAGCATTTGTCATACTTCCACTTTACGCCGGTCTTCTGTGAGGTCGTGGTACTTACCCGGACGGGCCTGCCCATTCGTGCAACAGCCGTGGCTGCTGCGTGGCCCTACCACCGTGCTTATGTGATAATAATAATGACAAGCTTGTAGATGAAGTCTCTAGCTACATGATTGGTAATTCAAAACGTTAATGCACCGTTCAAGTTCAAGACAGTCGCGAATATCAAAATCCACCAAACAACAAAATGTCTAAGTGCATAAAATACGTGAAATAGAAAAAATCCAGGCCTGAAACAGCATCGATATCCAGTTCTGCTAACACGAGAGCCGTTATGATTCTATCAGCGCGCGAGCGTTATTGCCTTCGGGATCGCATAAACTTCGACGGTTTGTCCGCGGACGTCCTAAGCATACACAGGATGATTTTTTAGACGAAGTACATACTTCAAAATGATGTTAATTGAACTATGGTGTGGTTACTTCTTGTGAAAATAAAATATTAATATTTTATTTTGACAAGAAATAACCAGAAAAATAACAATTCAAACATTGTTTGTTTATCCCTTTAATAGTGGTCACCCTATTGATAAGCGGCTTGGTAATTATGCGTTCAGCGAAAAGTTTTAGCGCTCGTCAATAGGTTATTGTATTGAGACGGTGAGGCAATAAATTCTTAAGGTGTCCATTATGTTTGAAAAATATAAAAATGAGGTCTCAAGTACGTACCAGTTACAGATTTAGAATCAATTTCTGAATATGCTCTGTTAATATGTCCGGCGTCTATAAAGTCACCCTGTATAAGCCGATTTGACTTAGAGGAAACGACCCAAGTAGGCGCAAAGGGCACTAACGCGAATTTTATTGTTCTCTATATAAAATGAGTCTGTGTTTGCGGAAATCCCTAGGCTGTATTCCTAAGCAGTAAATCGATCGTTAACTACTGTGGAACGATTTTTGGCACGACTATGCATACTTGTGGTCGGTTAAAGGTCGAAATTCGACCATAAATACATGGTAGTAATAGAGTATTTAATGTTTTTTTTTTATCGATTTAATGTACATTTATACATGCTTTAAAAAAATATGAGCATTCTGCATAATAAATGTGGGAAATTTCTACCCCTCCGTCTGCACAATTTTCGTAAAAAGGGGTACAAGAGGGGATAAAAGAGAATGTATATGTGTATGTATGTCCACCTAAAACTCGAGAACCGTTAGCCCAATTGACGTGCAACTTAGCACATATACAGGGAGGCTTTTTTAAGTGTATCCATTTTTTAATTAAGTTCTACTACTCCTTATGGACATAAATGTTATATAAAAATGATAAATATTTAAAATCACTCGTAATTAATTAAATACATTCATTTGAACATATCTCAAAAAGTGCGTGATTTATGGGCAACTCATTTATTTAACGCGCGATCATTCATTACTAACACGCACACAAGTTCGTTTCAAAAGTATACGACGCATTTATGAATGACTGCCGCATTGTCAACAAGTTCTGTTTTTTAGGGAAAGGGAAAGGCAATTTTTTTTTGAAAAAAAAAAAATGTTTTTATTTCAATAAACGATTAAACTACCGAGTCTGAACCTCCTGTGTGAATTTGGACACCTTTAGAAAAGCAGGCATGACCACTCGGCCGAACATAGTTACCTTAGTGCCGGATAGGTAGCGCTGGCAGTGATTTTTATCTTTTGAATTGTAGATCAAATTGATATAAGGTTGCAAAATAAGACAGGCAGTTATTTAAAATAAACTTTATTTTCGCTTGACACTTTCTCTTTTGTTACTATATGAATTTTACAAGAACAAGTCATAAAAAAAGGTAAAGTGACAGCCTATATATGTCGCCCAGCCCGCCGGCCTCCTCTGTATAGAGGATTTTAGGGCAAAATCCACCACGCGATCCCATTGCGGATTGACGGACTTCACATATCTTCGTAATATTATTTTATGCTATTATTTCTAAAATATGTAGCTTTCCTCACGATGTTCTCCTGGGCTGAGCACCTGATAAGTGAACACTTGCAATTAACAATTTCACTGGTTCCGCCACTCGATATATTGAATAGGGAGTCTGTTATTCAACTTATAAAAGTTCCGAAAAACATAAGCTGCTAAGTGTATTAAATTATCGACGTCGTCGTAATAATATTTGCACTCGATTTTCACTAAGTCTCTCTATTATTTAAACTTATAGAATGACTAGCTTTTCGCCCTAAATATATTTCTGTAAAAACTATATATATATTTTTAACAATTAAAAAATAGCCTATGTCCTTTCTCAGGACTGCTCTGGACTATCTGTGTATCTTTCATTTAAATCGGTTCAGTAGTTTTGGCTTGAAAGCGAGACAGACAGATAGAGTTACTTTTGAATTTATAATACTAGTATGGATTTAAATAAGAATCCAAGAGTTACGCCTTTATTGAACAGTAGGTAATTTAATCTGAATACAATATCGGGAAATAATATCGAATGACGGTTGCATCGCAACTGTCAACATTTAAAGGTAATTTTAAACGACGTTATTAAGAATCGATGTATCATCATCATCGTCTTTTCGGTCTGCAAGCGTCCACTGCTGAAAATAGGCCCTCTAGGGATTTCCACTTGCTTCCGTCAGAAGCAGCCTGCATCCGGCGAGGTCCAGCGACGTCAGGTCAAGCATCTCGCGAGTAGCCATCCCACGCTACGCTTTCTGACGCGCTCCCCACTATGTTGTATATTTTCATTACAAGATAAATAAATCTGCTTATTTGTTAATTAGATTACGCAACATACACATGCAATTATCGCACAGGTCCACCTTTGTACGTAATTTGTTGTGCTTAAAGTATAAATGAATAAATAAAAATTTCATACCTTTTATAGCAGCCGTTACTATGGATTAAAGGCAGTTGACTAGCTTTTATGACATCGGTCATTCTAAATCGAGGAACAGAACTCGATGGTCGTGTTTGAAGCATTTAATAACATATATACCTCAATGAAACAAGCGAGTGCTCTTAAACATGTTCCAGAGTATTCCGCTCAGCTGCTAGCGAAGCAACTATTGACATATATTTGGATGTGGAATGCACACCACTTTAATACAAGAGACCTCT